TTGTTGTTGTTTACTCGGATCTAATAATGACAAATGCAGAGAAACGATCGAAAAACGTTTTTGCGAATTCATTTGTTGTTATTTTTCTCGCCCGAAATTATGACGATTCGCGTGAATAACCGCGTCGACTGCGGGAACGTCGAAAAACAATTGCCGACGACGGCGTAGACTGCTGCCGATCGGTTTTTTTTAAAGCAACGCACCCCCCCGGCCAATACCGTGCGCCCGCAATAACCGTAAAAACCGGCATTTTGGAATCGCGTTTGACGGCGATCGCTGGTGTTCCGAAACACGTCGGTCGCGGCCCGGAGCAATTCGGTTTCCTCCCCCCCCCCCGAAACAAATTCACGGAGCCTGGTCCGAGTGTAGACGTACGCGTCTGAGACGGACGCGTTCACGGCCCCGAATCGAATTTCAACGCCCGCCCCGGGACGCCGTCGCGACGGACGCGTCTTTCGGCCGGTAAAATACTGCCGACGGTGCACAACCCGACCGTGCCTGACCCCGGTGGTAGGTACCGGTAATATTTAGCCGCTAACCTGGATCACGGCGACGGCGACGCAGGGCTCCGGCACCATCACTCGTGTGAAAACCGCGTCTGCGATGTACTGTTGGTCGCCCGTTCGCCCGTGCACGCGGCACGCGGTGTTCGCGAAAACGGTCGTCGTCGGGCGATGAACGCTTTACCGCGCGTCCGGCGCCGACACTGCGCGGGAAACTCGCACTCGCGAAATAATTTTCCGGAGAGACAAAAAAAAAACGGCCGAGACGAGAAAAAAAAATTTAAAAAAAAAAAAACAAAAAAAAAAAACTACGGTATAACGTGTCGGTGGGCGCGCGACAGTAACGCCGGACGAAAACGACACGGGGTAAACGCCGTTACGATGCAACCGCCGAACCGTTGTTAAACGTATCGAGAACGCGGAGACGGCGACGCGTACGAGAGGACCTGACCGTCACGAGCACCCGACAGTGTGCGCAGCGCGAGAGCATCCGAAGGACTGTTACTCGCCATGTGGAGTGGCCGGTCGCGGACGGACGAGTCGCCTGGAACGACCGCGCGGCGGGAACGGCGCGGAGAACAGGTGAACTGGAGTGCCGCCGCCGCCGCCGCCGCCGCCGCACGGCACTGCCAACATTGTGTACACGCCGCGTATTATTATTGTTGTGTATATTATAAAACGTGTGCGTAAGTATTTATTTATACGCGGGCGCGCGCACACGCGCGAGCGCGCGCGCGCCCGTTCGCCGTCCTTATAAAATTGTGCTTCGGAATACATTACACAAGTCATTAGTATTCCGTCGGCCGTCGTGTCCGACCGACGACACGACGACTGTCCGTGGCGCGGACGTTATAATCACGGGGGAAAAAAAAAAAAAAAAAAACCTAAAACGACCGAAACGAAAAAAGCATTCGTAAATATTTTCACGATTGTCGGGGTGGATAAACAGTTTCGTTCGGTGTTATTTTTTTCCATTCTCTTCCTATCGAACGTATTTTCGTATTCACCGTCGCTCCGCCTCTAATATTATGTTCGGCACACTGCACGGCGTTGTCCGACGGCGTTTCGTACGCGCGGTGCGTAATTATTAATTGGCGTACAACGACATGACGTGTCCGTGCGGGACGCGAGTGTGGTCGCCGAGCCGACGTCGACCGCGCGGACAGTTTTTCCGCCGGGGGGAGAACGTCGCCCCGACACCGTGAACCCCGGGAACGACGAACTGCCCCTTTCCTTCCCCCACCCCCACCCCGACTCGAACGAGATGTGCCCGATTTCGACACGCCGGCAGGCGCTCCCTGGCGCACGCGGCACTGGCGTATTAGACGGATGCCGGGGTTGGATAGGAAAAAAAAAAAAAAAAAAAATTCCCGGCCGGAAAAAAACCCGTTCTGTTTTTTTTTGGAAATTTCAAAAATATCGTTTTACTTACCGAGGGTGAAAACGTGGTATAAGCTGTTTTAAAATATTCATAAAAAGACTGTGGAGTTCAAAAGTTTCAAAACAAAGTCACCGCGGATAACATTTTTATTTGTTTTGTAACGAACGTGATATTATAATTGAAGCATAACATGTAACAAATAAATTTAAATACAAAATTTGTAAAAAAAAAAAAAAGTATTCATTTTGATGTGGATTTTAGGTGTGAATAGGTTTTTTTTTAAAAAAAAAAAATAAAACCCTTTTAAAACCCTTCCTAAAATAATTCCACGAAAAACCCTCGGTGGTTTTGGGTCTTACGGTAAATTACCCTGCAGATTGACCCAACCGGGTCGGGATTTCGTATAAAAAAAAAACCGGGTTTTTTCCAACCAGGGTAGACACAATTTTTCGGTTTCGTTAAGGTGGCCGTCAATTCAGTGTAGGTATACAAAAAAAAAAGAAAAAAAAAAACAGTTGAAATTCCGACGGTTCTAAAAGTTTACCGCACAACTGTCAACGTTTAATATTCAAAATTCAAAAGCGTCGGTGCTGGCCAAACGCTGAACTCTCGAAATCGTGTTAAAACAATCATTTTTCCGGGCAATTTTACAGACTTTCGCGGTTTTTTTCGAAATAATCGATTCAATTACTATAGCGACAAAAAAAAAAAACAAACCAGACCCGTCCGAAATACAATCAGTTTTCAATCTATAATAAACTATAGGCGGATGGGTAGGTATAGTGGCCGGGTACGCGAAATGTTTAAATGAAACTTTTAACAGGTGCATGCGCTTTATATTGTTACAGTAGGGTGAGTACTACGAAAAAAAAACGTTTTAAAATAAAAACCCGTCGTTGTAAAACTAGAGTTGAAGTCATGCAACTCACTGTAATATTATTTTGCAAAAAAAAAAAAAAAATGGACACGAACAAATCGCGTTTTGAATATTATAGCATCGCAAAACTCACTACTACCGTACGTATTTATGATTATTGCATACGAAACACGAATATGTCACCTGCATACGGTTTTCTTCTCAATAATTACGCCGCGGGAGCAAACAATCCAAACGTTTGCTCCCTCCCATCATATTCGCGCCAAGGAATTAAAAGAGAAAAAAAAATAAATAATTTAAATCGTTCGAAATACCGTTCGGAAAATATTCTAAAAACGACTAAATGGTCCGATACAAGGTCAACATAAATATGCTCTAACCCGAGAAACGTGAAACTCGAATTCTAAACGTTTCATGTTTGTCATTTTTCTGTTTCTTTATATGCCTACGCTACACTTTTGAGACGACGGCAATTTTTTTCTAAGTTACATATCGAAACACGGACCATTTTCAATATATTATTCACATAAAAATATAAAGATTTTTTTTTTTTTTTTATTACTACAAATCCCCTTATCCTGCACTGAAATAACTTCGCATTGCGCTGCAGCAGTTAAACTTTATGACTAAACTTTATAAATTTCCATCACAACACATACGTAAAAAGTATACCTATACATAAGTACCTGCCTGTATTATAAGAAAGCCAATGGGAAACCGCACAACTCTCTGCGATTTCTTTGCGTATAAAACAAAATCTAAAAAAAAAAAGCTCAAACGGTATTGACGAAAATTCGTACGAATCGCGAAAAATCAAAAATAATATTGAACGCAATTGAAAACGAATACTGTTTTTACAATTTAAATTCGTGGAGGAAAAATGTTTAACCGTACCGATAATAATCATCGTATTTCCGGAACGATTCATCCTGTATCGCACCAATCCGTCCACGTGCGTCCAATTTTAAACGCTCAGTACGTATCGGTTTTACAAACATGCGTTCTCCTTTCTCGGAAAATACTCTTTCGGTAAATCGTATTTTAAAAGATGCGACGATTTGTCGAGCGGGGCGGCATTTTATTTTAACAAATTGTCTAGATCTCCGACAGTTCATCGAGAGAACCGAACGAAAACTTACAACAAACCGACCGCAGATTATCGGCCCCGTTTGAATTTTACAATCATCGTTTTCAAACAAACCCACGCAAACCAGAATCGGACCCCGTTTGCAACGGTTAATAGTCGCACGCCGATATGCACTGATCTCCCCTCTACAGCCCATCATCCTGACTTCTCGCCTACAACTGTGACCCGCACATCGTGCGAAGTACGTCCGTCTTTTATTTTTTTCGAATTCGTGTACACAAACGAATTGAGACCAACGACGAAGACAGAATTTAACAGCTCAAAAGTCGCCGAAATGTTTTGACGATTTTACATTGTTATCTCATCGATAAAGGAATTGTCTCTATACGAACGTTTTTAACCGAATCGCGTAAAAAATTGAAAATATAAAAATAATTCCGTAAATCTGTCTGTTTACGCGCGCGTTTTTTTCCCGGGGTTTACCAACCATTAAAAAAACTACGAGGAAAATAAAAAAAAACGTCTTCCTAAGAGGCACCGACTTTTCCCTTGAGCTCTATGGACTCTTTCTCCATGACAAGGTCGAATCTATTCCGGTATAAAAGTAGTTTACAAACAGAAAAAAATCAAAGTTGAAAAAATCGAATACCACAGTGAAACCGATAAACTTTCTCACTACGCTCAGAATCTACGACTATTGTGAACAACTTTCCTGCCAGAAATCTTGGTGCGGTTTTCAAGTGCGGCGCCTTTTCTGAAAGGAAATTTTACCTGGGCGGTACTCTGAGGAGGTCATTTTTCGATTTTCATAATAGCCGGGGAAAAACCGGGAAACGCGTATGAGACGATTTTCGTAATGAACCGAAACCTCGCTCCGGATCGTTTTTCGTTTACCGCCGCGTACTGATATCAATTAAATTCCGCTCTATAACCTGCCTTTCCGACTTCTCACCCACAACAGTGGCCCACTCGTGGTGCCAAGTATGTCCGTATTTTTTCATTATCAACGCGCGCTACATTACCAAGACGACGCGATACCTAAAACGTACAAGCACCGTAACCACTGTAACAAACTCGATTTTCTCGATATTATAGACAAGCGGTTTTTCTTTTATCCGACGGCAAGAACAAATATAAACGGTAAGAGCGAAAATGTCGTGCGGACCGTGCAAAGAAACAGTCGAGTGCGAGGAAATCCCCGAAGATGGCGACGAATACGACGCGCTGACGGACCTATACCAGCGACTGTTCGAGCCCGACGCTGACGTCTGTTGTCCCAAGGACGGCGACAACTCGCAGGACGCGGGACGTTGCGATTGTCCGCTGACGCTGCCCGGCCCTAAACTTCCCGCGCCCGCCGCCGGCGAGGCCGCGAAATACTGTCAAGACGGGCCCGAGGAAACGTACGTGAAACGAGCGGACCGGCAGCTGTCCAGCCTGCTCACCAGACACCAGAAGGGCCAGGCCGAGGGCGACGTCAAGCACCTGACCTCCAAGCTGCCCGGCTTCAAGTCGTGCAAGATCCGCAAGCCCGGCACCGTCAACACGACCCTGGTCGGGCTGGACCTCGAACACTGGATGGCCACGGCAACGGCCGGCGACGGCCGGGACGAGCACGTCAAGCGTGCCGCCTACGACCTGGCCGCGGCCGAGGCGTACTGCAAGCACGACGGTGCCGTGGAAGCGGCCGAGCAGGCCGTCTATTACGAACCGGCCGGCCACCTGGCCGAGGTGGCCGCCCGGTTCGGCGCCCAGTCGTACGCCGGTGACGGCGGCGGTAACGGCGGCTCCGGCCAGGACAAAGGTGACGATTCGCCCGTGGTCGTGATCGCTTACGTGGGCAGTACCGCGTCGACCGAAGACTAGGCATGCTACTGCTGCCCCCGCGGCCGCGGAAAACTGTTTCCGTCAACTGCCGGTACGGATGCACTGCATTGCATATTCTCGAACGGTTTCGCGAAAAATACACGAGCAGTTGTACCGTAAACGTTTTATTGTTATTATTCTATCGGGGAGGGGGGGGGGGAAACACCCGGTAAACACTTACCGGAGAAATGACGAACGGAACACGGGGAATACGCGGTACGGTATAACGTCCGTCAACGCGACAGCGCGTTCCACGTAACGTAACGTTTCGTTTACGGAAAACTCTGGCGCGCTCTGGCCGCCCGAAACGGCTGTCCGCGTCGTTTATCGTGGTGTGGATCGTTTGTCTCCTCGTGGCCCGGTACGGGATAACCTCGAGTTTTCGTTCCGTCCAGACCAGCCGGCAAACTTTATCGAAAATAACTCTCGATTTTTGTGCGCGCGAAATACGCCGCGCAGCGGGCAAATCAGAGGGGAACCGACGTGTTTTCGCTTCTTCCGCGTAGAAAAACTGCTAGAGCCCCGCGAACATGTATCGGCGCTCAACGGGTTTCGGAGATGTACCAACAGCACCGCGGTATACGGAGTCGCCGGTCTTTCGCGAGACGCTCGTTGTCTCGGAGAGTATTGACATCATCCGGAATTCGTTTTCTGGACAATCTCGGAAACAAGCAGCCCCGTACGACTTTAGATTTGTGTAAACGTGTTGTTTCGTCGGGTGTAAAACCACTGCCTGCTTTTGACTTTCAAACGGCGACCCATGTCAGAAATTCCGTGCGCGGACGGAGTGCAAGTCAAAATAAATGTCGGCGTCGAAAACCGTTGAGTTCTGTCAATCCGTCGACGTCGGGAGAGAGCGGCGGAGCGCGGCGTACGATCGTCTGTTCAAACGCCGCGCGCCGCGCCGCCGCACAAACGGCGTCCCGCGCTACTCTCCCGAACTCGAAAGCGGATTATCTCGTGTCTGGACGGGTTGACGGAGTCGGAAATCGCCAAATCGCCAAACGCCGACATTTGACATCGGCCAATACACTCGGTCAACACTTTTCGAGATAGCCAGCGCTTCACGGTGGGCCGCGGATCGCCTGTGCACGCCACAGACGATACGCAGCTTTCTCCGCGGCGCCCCGCGTGTGTACGCCACGATATCCACGCGTCACGTGCCCGCGCCGCAATAATATTGGGTGCCATCGAATGTTACAAATGTCTCGGCACCGCAATACCGACCGTCGGAAATCGATCGTCGTCCCCGGGACGCTTATTGTGGACACGCGTGTCGTTAATAAATTATCACGTAATTACGTGGTCATTCGTCGCGATAATGGTTATTGACAACGACAATAATATACCGGGGAAACAAGGGGTCCCGGCCACGACCAAATAGGTACAACGTGATTCGGTAGTAATTAAATCGACTCCGCGGTCTAGTCAATGAACGGTCGACGGCTATCCGCAATGCATATTGATAATACGAACGGCGAAATTTTCATCGTAAAACATCGACACTGCCGCACGCAAAATCGAACACGGTTGCGTCGCGCCTCGCGTTGTCAAATGCGCGTCGTCAATAATTTCCGCGGCGGTTTACTTTTCGCAGTCCGCCCGCAGAAGAGGTATAGGTTACCCAAACTTACAATCGCGATTATTCATTTCACGGTTCGTTTGTCGACATGGTTTTTGTGCGTATACGACACATTAATAATACGGATTAACGAAGTTAAGATACCGAATTTAATTATTATTGCGAAAAACGGCGGCGAACTGCTCCGTTTCCGGGATAAATCGCGAAATCCCGACGGCGGTTTGATGTACAGGGGCGCCAATTCTCGAACCAATCAAAACGTCTTGTCGACGGAAATAATATGATCGAAAACGCATTTGTTTCCGACCTGTTCGAAAAATTCCGTATTCTCAAACAGCTATCGATTTCTCGTTTCGACTGCTGTTTATCAGACAATGGCGACATAGATTTTTTTTTTTTTTAATGCGATATAACTCAATCAAAAATGATGAATTTATAATAATGTCCCGTTTGAAAATGAAACTCGCCGATAGATGGTACAAAAAGATACATTTGACGGTAATTTAAACGTTACACCGAGTGTTAAACGTATCTACTTAATTATAAAAAAAGACGGACATACATCGCACGATGCGCCACCGCGAGCCACTGTTGTAGATGAGAAGTTAAAAAGACAGGATATAAAGGGGAATTTAATGTACATCTGTAAGCAACGATAAATCATTGCTAACGAAAAACGATTCCGAAAAGAGTTCGGTTTAGCATGTTTTAAAAGGCCGTAATATTAACGGTTTTTAATCTGATGCATTGGCGCCCACTAAGATTTAAAACTCGACATTTTAGATTTTCGGTTTCACATGATACTAGCTGTCCCGCGCCCGTGCTAATTTTTTATTATATTTACATTTACTCCCGGTTTGATTAGTCCGTATCAGTACATTGAACTAAAAAAATTGGTGGAAAGTGAGTAGTCAATGGACTAAAAGTGTTCCAGTGTATCATACTTTTTTTTTCATTCGAGTTACCATAGGTACCATAGGCACAACACAAGGATTAAACTATGCATCCACTATGATAACCCTAAAAGTATGAGGACATAAATGCATAATAATACTGTAATGTTAGAAAATGTTTAAACGTGGTAATGGAGAAGAACGCTAAAAATCCCATAAACAGAAAAGGTAAAAAATGTTGAGGTTTTCAGGAGAATAAATATCAAAAAATTAATATGGAATACATTAAGACTGAGAATAAAAACGTGAATCGGACACTTAATAAGGAATAGTCCTTGGATAACAACAATAATGGAGGAAAAAATCAGAAGAAAAACCTAGAAGGGGAAAGCCTAGAACTCCATTCCCGAAGCAAGTGATGGAAGATACCAGAACAAGAACATACTGGGAGTTAAAAAGAAATATAAGTGACAAAGAAAACGGAGAGAGACATTGTTAATCAATTAACTAATCTTCGGGGAGGGGGGAAACTGTAGTGTTTTTACTGTATCAAAAAAATACAAAGATTCAGAAATGACGTTTTATGTGTTTTCACTTTTCACTTACCCACCACCCTGTACAGCACATAGGGTTTTGTTTTTTTGTTTCATCCATGTCACCAATGTAACCCATCTTATTTCAAGCCAATAATAGAGCAGCGCAGGCAGTCAAATAGACTCTCTATTTTAAGTTGTTACTGTTGTTAAGGCATTTGTATATGTACCATTCAATTGTTCCTACCTTAATTTGGACAATTTTCAAACCACTGCGAAATGTTACGCATACACATCACTACCTTCTTCGAGATGTTTTTTATTTAAATTATTTGTATTGGGTTATTATTATATTTATCTCTTTAATCAAAATACATAATATACGCATTCTATTAGTATAATGTAATTTTCTTTATTGAAGTAAAATTGTTAGTTTCGTTGAATCGTAAACATATAATCAGATGACTAATGCATACAATAGTGGATACATAAGGTTATTTCATTTATATCTGTAAGCAACGATAAACCATTGGTCGCGGAAAGACGATTCCGAGCGCAGTACGGTAACGCATAACTTGAAGTGCCGTAATTTTGTTTGCGATTTTCGTTTAAATTTGATTTCAAAACGTTTATTAAAAAAAAAAAAAAAAAGTCGTCCGATGATTTTGGACCGCGAGAGAGAGTTTGCGGTCTCTTGTAAAAAGTATAACGGATGTTGCTGGTGATTTTTTTGATCAGTCCTAAATAATTTTCTAATTAGAAATTCCCAAAATTATTCAGGCACCGTGTCTTATAATAATATAAAAATGTTTAATTTATTAAATTATTGGCATTGTAAGATATACCGGTTTATAAAATAGTATATAGTAGCACGTGTAAAATTGGACATTTTTTTTTTTCAATAACTTTTGGCGAGGATACGAAATACTTTTCCTAACCCCCGAGCAATGCCATCTTCGATTGTACCTCGTGCCAGGCAATAAAAATCTCTTAAGCCTTTTTGACATTACCGATGTTTGTTCTGCAGTTAAACAATCGCAATGTTCAAACGAGGATGTTTCTTTAATGATAGAATTTTGCGTCGTCACGTAATCGATTGATTTGCATGCGGCCGTTGTACCGGTAGAGGTTGTATTTTGTAATCGTAGGTGTTATTTCGTCAACGTTAGACTGAAAAAAAACCAACACGGATCATAATGATAAAAAACTACGCTACATCAATAATAATCTTATTAATAAACAGTTAATAAAGATAATTGATTAACCGAACTCGTATGATTACCATCAATGTAATAATATTATAATTATATATTTGACCGCTGTGGGCGAATTGTCACGCCAATATAATTGATTGTCAAACCCCCCCCCCCACCCGTGATTTGTGAATATCTACGTGATTCGAACCGGTGACGACCGATCGGCCCTTATTGCTCTCTATTATTATAACGATATTGAAAACTGATATCGAGTTAATATTGATATGAAACTTTTGACCGGATATAAATGTATAGTACGTTGGTTATTTATATAATAACTAGCTGAATAACCCGGCTTTGTCCGTATGCGGTTTTTTTTTTTTTTGTTGTTGTTTTACCTACGACTTATATCAATCAGTTTTTATATTACAGTTATGAGTTGTATTCGGATGCGAGTGACCGCGCGTTCCCGTATTATCCGGGATCGTCCCGTATTTTTCACTATTTAGTCCCGTTGTCCGGACAAAAATTATACGGGACGCGTTTCGTCCCGTATTTTAAAGTCCGTCCCGTGTTTATTCCGTTTTTCCCCTTACCGTTCAATGTACGACTTGAAATTTTTCCGAAGTTTTTATGACATTATTCAATAAAATATACTTTACAATGGTATTTGTGAGTTATTGTTCTGGCTATTCTAGCGGGCATCATCAATACTTTCAACGCTAATAACAAACGTCGATCATAATAATAATGATAGACAAATATCATAATCAACATTTTAAACATATAACCGCCAATAACCGTAATCATAATTTCAATAACGGTAATAAAAATAAGCATAAGGATAATTATAACATAATGAGCACTTCAATAACCATCACAATCACAATAACTATTTCAATAGGAAGCGTAATGAATATCAATAAAAAACGATATAAATTTCAATAATAACAATAATAATAACAATTTTAATGTATTGTCATTACGATTATTATAAATGTTGATTCGATTATTATTACTAAAATGCGCATTATTATTATTATGCCGATTATCGCTACTTGCTGGTAGAAAAGTTATCCGCAGAAGAACAAAATACCGTAATATTTCACCAGTACATATCGAGTATACAAATACTATTATACGAGGGCTAATCAAAAAGTATCGAGACTGGTAATATTGCTCGGAAACCGAGCGTTGAAGAGCAAAACGATTTGTAAACCTAGTTTCTGTGACTTATACTGAGCGCATCTATTCGTATAAAATCTCTATAAACTTCTTCGTTTTGATTTGACGATATTTTTCTAAAATTTGTTTTTCACGTTTGGCGATTTCGTAATGAATCCAAAAGAAGCGGAACTCGCTGCCAATCGAGGGCACATTTTCAGTTTTTCAATTGACATTTAATGGCAAAAACCATGAAATGTTGCATCCCTCTGAAACTGGAAAAAAATGCAGACAAATTTTCTAAAATCTCCAAATCTGTCAAGTTACTCTTCTTTTGGGTTTATTACAAAATCGCCAAACTCGAAAAATATATTTTACAAAAATATCAGTGAAATCAAACCGAAGAATTTTATAGAGAAGCAATAAAAACAAATGTACTCAGAAAAAGTCATAGAAGCAAGTGATACCAATCCTACTGCTCTTCAATGCTCCTTTTCCGAATGATACTACCAGTCTTGATACTTTTTGATTAGCCCTCGTATAATTATAATTAATTTATAAATTTAAAATAATAAAAATATCGGCATACTTTTCGAAATTGGGTGGCCGAATTCTCAAGCGTGGACACATTTGTTTTCGGCTTTTGGCAAATCGGTAGTGACGAGATATCCGTGCTCGGGATATTGATTAACAATTTCATGTGCGTAAAAACACTTCGGTTTTCTGAGTAGGCTGCTGGATATTACGATACGCCTTAAGTTCTGATTTAAAGTTGTGCAACGTTTTATTCGTGAATATAAATATCACTGTTAATCAGACGCGCAATTAATGGATTAACAATAAAGATTATTAAGTTTGTTTAACTTTAGTAAGTTTAGTATAGTAAGTTGCTGCTGAAAATTACAATAGTTTCTATAACTATTTAATGCCTGCGGCTCGGAAAATCAGTAAAATAATACATTACACTGCAGCATATAACCTTCTATACAAAAAATATTACTTTGTCTTACTTAAAAAAACAACAGGTACTACCAAGACATTGTAAATGTCACTTTTAGCCACATTAATAAAAGTTTCTGGATTCTCGTCCGCAACAGGGTCTTCTTCATCAGGTTCATTATTTTCTTCATTTTGAAATTTTTTTGTTTTTGAAATGAAATTCCGACTATCTTCATCTTCATCAGTGTCGTTTTCTTCGGTCTCGTCGTCGTCGCTTTCGTCATTGCTCTCGTCATCACCACTGTCGTCTTCGTCAGCCTCTTGTTTATCAATTATCAAATCGTAGTTTATTAAATACATCGATGATACACATCTATTGTTCAAACATGAAAGTCCTCTGTAACGCAAATTTGTATTTTTAACAAAGAATATAATCATAACTAATAATAACATTGCTATCATTATAATTGCATAAATTGCTAGTAGAAAAGTTATCCACAGGAAAACAGAAGGACGTAATATTTTTAACTAATACCTACATTTCTTACATTTTCCGTCTTTCCTCCGTTTTTCATATTTGATGAGAAAACTCTTAAAAAAATCGAAAAATAACATTCCTAAATTATCTCCCCACACCGATTCCCTTTCAAAAAAGTTGCTACACATAAAAATTGAAGCAAATTCTCTGGTAGAAAAGTTGTCCGTGGAAAAAAAAAATTAAACATCTTTTTAAAACCATAAGCTTCTTCGCTCCACTCAGAATCTAAAATATAGCATATTATATTCATCGACGAATAAAAGCAAAACATAGGTCATTATATCTTATTCTATTAAATTAAGATTCATTCTGCAGATTGATTTACGATGAAATCGTGTAAAATGTGTTTAAAATACTATTTATGGTAAATCGACTGCTGTTGTAAACTATTATGAACACTACGACAAAAAAAAAAGGGCTGTTATTGATAACGGGTGTGCCACCTTTTTAAGAGGAAAGGGGATAAGGTTTATAAGCTAATTGCTTCTTCGCTACACTTAGAATCTCAAATACGAACATTGTTCCACGCCACTGACCAACGTCATGGACTCATGGACGTTTTCGTGGATATCTAATATACTTACATAATCGTACTTTTAAGCGTAATTTGATATGGGTACTTATTAAAATAGGTATGGTATAGGTTATAATAAATAACTCTAATTGATACTATAACAGTTTAAAAGTAAAGTACTTTAAGATGCAAACGAAATGAATTCGACTTACTCGTTTTTTTTGTGTTTGTCAGTAACTAACAAAAAGTGAACTGTAGAACATATCCACAAAACTATAAAAATGAACCATAATATGATTGATACGTTTAACAATATTTTGGAATTCTGTAATAATCGAAAATTATTTTAGAACCTAATACTTATTTTGTTTTATTTTATTGGTAAGTAGTACATGTTTTTATAAAGAAATTATTAAAATACGTATGTCGACATTTTAAATTTCGAATATAATTTTGTATAAAGTCATTAATATTATTTTATCTAATATCTGCGTACATTTTATTTGTATATATTTTTTTAGTAAATATAGGCATAGGCATAAATAGAGGGGAGGGCTTAGGGGATTTAGCTACCGCAAAACTCAGCGAAGCCCCTCAAATAAAGTCCTTATCGAATAAATACTAAGTATAGTATACAGGGTGATTCATTAAGCGTCCTCACCGTATTCTTTTGGTTAAATTATTTTGCACGTATTCAAATTCTGATTTTTAGAATTTTTAAGTGCAGTTAAAGCCGAAATTTTCGAACACTTTGATTTTTCACAAAATTTACGTATTTAGTATCCTGTGATGATACCAACTTTTCTTGTTTTTGACTTGATTTGAACTTAGTTTTTCAAATGAGAACCTATATTAAAAATTCCATAAACTGACGGAGTATTACTTTAAATCAATTTTGATGTCAAAATATTTGATTTCCGTTAACTCGTTAATGCTTAACGATATTTCACTTTTTAGTTTAAATAGGAGGAGAGTAGTGTAACACTATGCACTTGTGTATAGTAATGTGATGGCACGTCACAGCGCGCGGCGTTTGAATAGTGTTCTACTACTATCTCCCCCTAATTACACTAAAAATTGGAATACCTCGTCAAATATCTCGATTTGGAAATCAAACATTTTAACAGCAAAGTGTATTTAAACTAATGCTAATAATCTATTTATGCAATTTTAAGTCTGAGTATTCGAAAATATTGGCCTTAACTACACTTAAAAATTCCAAAAATCAGAATTTAAATATACGCAAAATTTAACCAAAAAAAAAAAGGGTTGACCACGCTTAGTGAATCATTCTGTATATTTTTAATAGTAATAAAAAATATATGGACTATTTTCACCTATAAGGCAAATAGGTGTAAACCTTATTTAGGTGACGTATTTAGTACAAATAATTTTAGTGTATAAGTATTATGCATTTTCGTTTATTGGTTTTAGTTCGTAATCTAAATTAATTTATATTATCTCGATGACAAGATAAAATTGCATTTTCTTAATGATGAGATCCATCGAGTTGACTTGTCAAGTTAGTCAGAATTCGAGCAGAAAATCTTGAAATCCACTATAGCGCAATATTATTACTCATGTCTGGATTAAGGTGATGGTGCCACATTCCCTGAGACCACGGATATAAAGTGCCCCCATCATGTCATCATACGACATAGGTTTATAAAATGTCCGTTTAAAACTTTTTTAGTGAAAAATGTATAGAAGGAAGGCCCATTTTCAAATTTTCTCCCCCCCCCCCGGATCCTACATCACACTTTTCTATTACCTACTATAATTGCCAATATTTAATGATGGTAATAATAATAATACGAACACATCATAAGTATTAAATATACTAAATTACTAACTTTAACACACGCCACGAACGCAATTATCCATGTAACTATCATCAAAAGAAAGCAAGTTAAAAATATCAAACAGGCATCTGCGAAAAAAAAAACAATTCATACATTATAATAATTTATAAAAACATATATCGTTTGGTGCCAAACAATATTATTCGTTTTTACAGAAAATGTGACTTTTTATTGAACAATCGTCAATTTAATCGTTAACACAAATAACTAAGTGTCTTATATCAGTACAAGGGGGTATTTTAGGGGATAGTCCCCCCCGTATCTGTTTTTATGTAAATATTTAATATTTTAGTATATCGAATTTATACAGGTATGATATAATGAAAAAAAAAAGTATAACATTCTATCTTCATAATTTTTAACAAAAAAACGAAAATAAAATTGTTTTAACGATTTATATAAAATACATTACTAGTTATCAGAATACTACGGTTGAAAACATTTTGTTTATTGCAATCATGCTATACAAACTTACGTTCGTAATCATATAAAGTATCAACCACAGAACAACACAATATTATATCAATATTGACCACGGTATTATTTAGTCTTCAAATATCGTAAACAAACTCATGTGCAGGTTTCTTCATGGAGAGGGAAGAAAAAGTGTTAAACAAATTCTTAAAGTATTAGTAAATAGAATCATTATAATTAATATAGTTGCATGGATTTTTCAAACATAAAAAAACGTGAAGACAACACCATTATAGTGGTGTTGCATTACTATCTATTAATAAACACATTATTGTATAGGTATGTATAAAAAATATGATTACAAAATTGATTAAAAGTCAAGAACACAAATTATATAATTTTTCGATCACTTTTATACTTCAGTAGGCCATCAAAATTTTATAAAATTAATAACTTTAAAGATTCAAAAATAGTAAAGGGGGTTTGAACCCTTAACAATCTCTTTTCTTAAGCACGGGCCTGGGGAAAAAACATCAATTGTGATTATCTATGGACAAGTAGTAAAGAAACAAAACTGATTCGCCAATACGCTCTCTTGCACTAAAAAGATAACTAAATACGCCACTGTATCAACCAAATAGTATTTTTTGACATTATAAAAATAGTAAAATCTGATTCAAAGGCCCGAATATAGTAAACATCATAACAGGGGAATATTTTTGAAAACTCTCATGACGAGACCGGCTGTAGATTTTATGTAAATATAATTTGTTATTATAACCAAGAGATTGTATACGAATAACAAAAATTAATTTTAAAAAAAGACGTCGGTAGGCCACTGTTGTAGACGAGAAGTTGGGAAGTTAGAAAAGAAATTTAATGTATATTTAACGTAATATTTAATGGAAACGATTCTGAGCGGAGTTCGGTTAATAATGTTGCTTTTTCAACAATATATAATATGTCACATTATGGTAAAATAATTACATAAAGCATTATAGTATATTTTTTTTTAATAATATTTGTTTAATACTGTTCCTATTTGCCCGTTTTTCTACGTTTTTCCCATGTTTTCCTTGGTTTTCCCATTTATTATGAATACAGCTGAGAAAATCAAAAAATTACCTCCCTAAGTATCGCCCCGGTGAGATTTCCTTTTCAAAAAAAGTGCTATAATTGAAAATCGGAGGAAAGTATGATTGGTACTGGTAGAAAAGTTGTCCGCAGAAAAAAAAAACCTACAAAAATAAACTTCATTATAAAACCAATACATTCCTCGCTCCACTCAGAATCTCAAAAACTACAACTCTAACACCATAACCATAATACAAACTATTTGGGTTTAAACGCTCAAATTTTCACAAAACAATATATGAACCTAATAGTAAAAAATTTTCCGGCGTAATATTATAATTTATAAATAGTGCGAGTTTCCGTAAATAAAAAATTAGAGTATATTTAACTAAAATCACCTGAATCATCTGATCGAGTAATTTTTAATTGAAATTATATACTACACAATGGTATGGAAACTCGAAACATACCCGACGGGTAATGAAATATGTTCACGAATATTAATTTTCCAAGAAAATATAATTTTTAAAAAAAGATCACGTTATTTAAACTATATACTGCAGAAATATGAATTAGTAAAAAAAAAAAAAAAATTATACTTACATTCTAAGGTAGTTTTTATCTAGATTTTATTACAATTGGTAAATTGAACACACATTACTTACTCATATTGATCATGGAAATGACGTCCCATATATTCGAAATAAACATAACCCAAGCCAACATCTGGAATAGATATATAAAAATATAAAAAAAACGTACTGGGATAACAGAGACGGGTGCGGCTACTGTGATAGGTAATTTAATATATATCTGTTAGCGACGATTAACCATTGCTAACGAGAAACGATTCAGAACGAAGTTCGATTATACATGTTTTAAAAACTTATGATCAACCACCTGTTAAATTTTCAAACATTTCTGTTTGGTCTAACAATTGTATCCACAGAGTAACTACTAATTAAAAATTACCTGAAAAACTCTCAAATTTACAATGTCTATAATTAGCTGAAAATGTTTAAACGTTTTGAAAATTTTACTAAATCATATTAAAAAAAAAAAATTGAAAATAAAACATTTCGTAAATTGTCCAGTTTTTCCCAATTATTATGAAAACCGTTTGGAAAATAAAAAATATATCTAATGTATCACCCAAAAAATATTTCCTTTCAGAAAAAGTGCTACTATTGAAAATCGGAGCAAGAATTTTTGGTAAAAAATGTTATTCGTGGATAAAACAAAAAAAATAAATAAACATCAATATAAAACCAATAATATACATTCCTCGATTTTCGCTCAAAATCTAAAATACTCGTCAAAACACAAAATTCGAAATTCCGTCTATTAGTCAATAATCAATTTTATGTATACATATTTTTTTAGTCTTTCGTCTTTTTACGTTTTATTAGGTAAAATATCACTAACGAAATACAAAATACAAACAAATATGTACCGGCCGGGGACGGGCGACTATTATAAGTTCACTTGTTTGTAGTTTTAAAAAAAAGTCCAGTTAAGAACCGTTTAACGCCCGCGTGATTTTACAGTACTCCCGACAATTGACGCGTGCATTTAGGGGGGTGATATTATTTTTCTTTGAAATACCTTGTAATTTAAAGAAAAAAAAAAAAAAAACGTCGGATATAATAATATATTATAAAAAAAAAAAAGGTATCCGTGACGAATTTCGAGTGGAAATATCATCCGGGCCCGTACGACAAAAACGAATTACGAGCGTGACGCCCAAAAGAAAACGAAATAAAAAAAAAAAAAAAAAAGGTCAAACGCTACGTTATACATAACAATACGCGAGCGATGCGCACCGCCCCCCTGGGTCTCCGCACGGCAAAACGCGAAAAGAGTTCGGTTACGCGTGTCCCAAAAACAGACACACGCGCGCGTGCAGTTTTTACAGCCTTTACGTCTCCTATTCAATGTAATAAAACGTATGAATTGTGATAGGCGGTCGTAAAAACGCGCGTCCATTGTCTCGTCCACTCCGGCTCCGACTGACCGACGTGTCGTCGGCAACACTATACGCGAGGGGGCGCGAACACAACAACGCGGCGATAAACACCCCCGTCCGTATAGAGTACGTCCTAAACTGTGCGGACCCCGACGTTTCGGGAACATTCACGTGGACAGTGGTGGATTTACTGTCAGGCAAAGTAGGCGGTTGCATAGGGGGGGGGGGCGAATTTTTAGGGACGGCAATTTTACGCCAATATTTCATTGAGAATACTAGTGTTTTTTTTTTTGTACACTGGGTGTATCATGGCACACCTGGCACACCTCGTGGTCCGAGGTCAGAAATGTATTCATTCTAGGCTTTATTTGATTAAATGCTATCCCATGAGGTATGACGAATTCGTATTATTAAACAATAAATCAAACCCACCCCGTCATTGATGTGCATTTATAATTTACGCAACTGAGTGCACTATGACACAGAATTACATTGCTGCAGTCGTAATTATAACAAATTATGACAAAGATGGGTGTGGGAGAGAGAATAGAGGGGTTACAAATAAACAAAATAACATGATTCATATACCATTTACTACAAATCGTAATTAAAATATTTATAAAATATTATACTAATCGTGTCAAATTGAAAAAAGACGGACATACTAGCACGTGGGTGGGCCACTACAGTTGTAAGTGAGAAGTAGGGGAGATAGCAGATGGAAAATTTAATGTATATTTGTAAGTAACGACAAACCAATGCTATATAGGCAATATATATTCTCTAACAGTATTATATCGTTTAATATCGTACCTTTTTTCCCGATTTTTCCCATTTATTGGGAAAAATACTGGAAAAATCAAAAAATGAGCACCTTAAAGTACCTCCCGAGTCCGATTTCCTTTTAAAAAAGGTACTACAATTGTAAATCTGATCAAGATTTCTGGGAGAAAAGTAGAAAAAAAAATAAAAATTAACATCTTTGTAAAACCATAAGCTCCACTTTGCTCCACTCAGAATCTAAAAGAACTGATAATGGGAACACAGATGCGGTCACTGTTGCAGGTAGCCAGGTATGTAGTTGGGAAGGTGGGATACAAAAAGTTGTTTAATTTATACCTGTAACCAACGATAAGCCATTGCTAATAAAAAACAAATCGGAGCGAAGTTCGGTTATACATTTTTGAAAAGCCGTAATATTTAAAAAAAAAAAAAAAATTGGTAATAAAATTCTTGTGTAAAAAAAAATTATTTTAATAAATATTAAACAATTTTTTTTTGTTTTTACCAAAATTACCACTTGTAATGAATCTCCGGTCAAATTGTCGAGCATTTCTGTTCGGTCTAACAACTGTATCCGCGGAATGCCTACCAAATAAAAATTACGTATAAACCTCGCAAAATTAAAATGTCTGTAGGTAAATGGGGATGCTAAACACGTGCAATCCCTTTCCAATTACGCACCACGGCTCTGGGTAATTATATTACCTAGCTACCTATAGGTACCAATAGTTTTTGTTATAGTCAAAAGACTATCACGTTACGGTATCGCGAATCTTACCATCATTGATGCCGAAGTCGTGGCGACAGCTGCATTGCATGTTACTATCCGCATGGTTCGTTAATTTAACACGTCGTGGAAACAAAAACGCTTTAGTCAATGATAATGTTTTATTTACACTAACGTTATTTATAAAAAACGGTTTTTTATATAATTTTTTTTTTTTCAATTTTTCGCTATTGTTGTTGCCATACGCGGTTTGCTGCAGTTTACTATAATCCGCCGGACAACTGTTTCTGTGGATACGTACCGAAAAACACGACATTTTTGTCAAACCGTCCGCGGAATCGAAACAATGATAAAACAGCGGACGGCTAAACGGGTTCAATTCCGTGGGCGGCGGCCTTCGGACTTTCCAGTTTCGATGTCCATTACCCATTATGCTCGTGATGCGTAAACGCCAAACTGTGAAACACGGTTATAGCCGGTAGTTACGGAACGAATGCATGTTACGGTAACAAACACTGATAAGTGATAACCATAGATAATGCATAGTATGTATTATCTATACTGATAACCGGTAATTTATATCGTTTGCATTTTGCGCCGTACGGTTAACGTTCTTGCTGTTCACTAACTGTGCGCTTTGAGTATTCAAAGTTCAAATTGCTGAAGTAAAACTAACACCAACGCGCCCAATAGTTTTTTTAGTTGTACTAAATATATTATAATGGTGTACTCGGTGAAATGTGCGGTCTGTGAATTTAAAAACGTGGACGCTCGAAACGTTTCATGAAGGATGATTCGAAAAGTCATGGAGTGAAAAATATTTTGCCGAGCGAGACGGATGAACGAGGAACGTCTGATAACCAATGTGACCCATCCGTTGTATATTATCTGTGGTCAGAAGACTCAATGTCCCCCAGCGTATTGTGCATTATCTATGCAACTTAATCACTCGGCAGCCTGGCTGCCGCAGCCGATCTGTCGGACCGGCGGCTAATTGGAGCCCGCGCATCAGTTTGCAGCTGTAGCAGCCAACCGACTGCGCGCGAATCACAGCGAAACAAAGTGAATACACGTGGCTGACGGCTGCGCGTGTTTTGCGTTCTTCACGTCTCGAAGAAAATATTTTTTTTTTTTTTTCATGAAGAGAATACCGCGGTGACTTTCGATACGGGAAATCGAAAGCCGAAAAGCAATTTGGGATACAACTTCTGATGAATACAGCAATCGTGATTTAAATAGAAAGCGATGGGAGGAAATCACGAATATAATGCGTGAAGAAAATTTATCAGAAAATAGAAAAAATACATTCGATAAGTCTTTATTCATTTATTGAAGTGAAATTGATGCCATAAATTTAATTAATAATAATATAATTTGAAAAGAGAATTAAAATGGAAAATGGAAAATGAATAATTCTGTAATTTCAACTAGTCGCATAAAATCCAATCAAGTTAAGCGAATGACCCAAACACGGAATAAAGTTAGCCCAAGGTACAACTTCACGTATCCTAGTTTGAAGACCAGAACAAATTCAGGATATATTTTTAGCATTATCATATGATTGTCCTCGTAAATATAAAATATCTTAATTGTATTTTTTTTTTAAATAGAAAAAACTGCGTCGGCCATTTATTGAGACTTATTGTCCGACATTTTCAAAAAGGCTTAAAAATCTTTCTACCGGTAATCCATCACTGTTAACATACCGAAATATAAATCAAATTTGATCAATATGACCAATATCAGGAGTTGAGTCAATGCTAATTGAAAAATGTTGAGCTCTAATAATTTCTTCAATAATTTTATTTTGAACTTTTACTGCCATTTACTTAATAAATTGTTCATATGTAAAATGAAACAAATAGTTAGTGCGACTTTAACCATGGTTTTCATGAGTCGATATATGTTTGGCCAAAAATAGATCAAATTCTGCTATCAATTCGAGACACATCATAAAACTACCATTATGCAAAGACCCAAACTCCTCATTGTCACTTCTAAATAGCAAGCCCCAATATGATAAAGATTTCACGACAGCACAAACGTCTTGTTAAGACATTTTTCCAATATGCTTTTTCTGTTTCTGTTTGATACTGAAGTGTTTTATCAACCCTATTTAATTCCAAAGATCTATTTTTTCATTTTAATTACACATACTTTATGTGAAAGAGAGTTTTCATGCTTGTTGTTTGATTTTGATCTTTTCCAATCTGAGAAACCATTTCTTGAAAATTCTGAAGAATTTTTGAAATAGATAACAAGGAATGTAAAAAACTGCACTCTAACTTTCTGACTAAACAAAATAACTTTTTCTAAATTTCTCACCGCCGATCAAAACAGTTTCAAAATAATTTGTATTTAAATACCTATGGGCATTTCTGAACGAACCTTTGCGAACTCTCTGATAAAGTTGTTTGGATCGACTAAAATTTGAATCCAAATTTTGACTGTAGCCATTTTTACATACATAATCAATAGTAAATTCACTCATATTCCAGTCAGCTGGATCAGTCCTAAAAGCAAGTAAAAACAAACAACCTTACAAAGCTTCTGAAATAATAAACATTAGGTGCCTATTGTCTGTTTTACTAATTTAAAATGTTTTAGAATATATTTTCATTCAAACTAAAAATATTGAACTTTAGCCTGGTATTTTAAAACCATGAGAATAATCAGCATCATTTAGAATTATGTTCATTTCATTTCATTTGATGGAATCTCATTAATGATGGACCTAGATTATTAAAAATACAGTAACATAATACAATTTAATTAAAAGTATTTTCATCCTTTAATATTATATATTTTATTTTTAATAAAAAAAAGTAAAAAAAAAAAAAAAACTTACTCTAATGATTTAACATCTTCCGAACTGCTACCCCACGTTTTTGAATTATCTCATTTTCATTGTGCATCTGCATAATTGATGATGAACAATCTTCATTGGCTGATAAACTGCGTGGGTAACTGTCTATAAAAATTCAAATATTTCTTAAAATATGATATCAAATAATCATTTAACTAATTAATTAATTAGTATAATAAGCTAATGCCATTATATTTACTGGTTTTTATTGTTTTATCCGGCGTCTGGTTTTTCTCTTTAACTAACTTACGGTAGTGAGCACCACTAGGTTTTATTCTTTTAGGCATAAGTGCCGTTATTGAAAGAGTATTATTTACCGAAATAAATATAAATTAAAGATTTATTTGTTCATTAATATATGAATATTATAAACCAGTGGCGAACCCAGGATTTTAGTACTGTGGGTTCGCCTCACTTCCGAGAGACCATAAATCATAACTAATTTTTCAGTAAAATTTAAAACTTACTCGCAAACTTTGGTATTGTTAATTAATTCAAATTTAATTGTTTTTTTTTTTTTATTATTATTATTATTTGTCGCATTAAAATTGAAAGTGAACGCTCGACAAACTTACCCGGTATATTGAAACGATTTCGAGTATTTTAGATTTTGAGAAGAGACTGTACATATTTATCATTATTTATATTTGTGTACACATGGGAAAAAAAGGGGAAAAAAAAACATACCACTTTCGCGCATGTCGAACTGACGGCTGCCAGCCGTCCGAGGCCAATTTCTCCCGCTGCCGTTAAAATAATGCAACGATCGTGCACGACGAAACTGTCCGACGAGTATACGCCGATTTCAAATGACTCGTTTATAATTAATGATATTTGAGCGGCGCGACGTGAACGATGAACCTGTTACTTTATAATATTATAATTTGTATCGGCCCATCCCTAGTAAATAGTGTTTATTTGATAGATAGAAATATAAATCTTGTAATTTTTTAATTGTAGCGATATTTCTGGTAGAAATCGTCGTCCGCAATTGTTTAATACAAATGTAATAGCGAAACCGTACGTTTTTTCCCGCATAATCGATTTTATTTCGAGTGGCGTTTCGAAAATCAAAAAAAAAAAAAAATGACCTCTCTAAAGTACCGGCTCAAGAACATTACCTTTCGGTAAAAATACTACACTTGATACTTTTGAGCAAGTGTAGTAGGAGAAAACGCGTTCGCGGAACAAAAACAAATGAAAAATAAACATCATAACAGTTTTATTCCGGACCCTAATTATAATTTAAATAACATAGATTTTTACAATAATAATTTTACAAATATTAACATAACGATCTTTCAATCTGATAAAAGATCGGAATCGTCATCTTCGTCATAACTACACTATTTCGTTCAGCCGTCAATTCGTCTACAGTGTCATCTAAGGTCCAAAACTCACCGTCTTCTTTGATTGTGTGACTTATGAAGTTCTTCCACATTTCAGCGTTCACTTTGGCTACTCCTTCAACCGAAAGATTTTTTACGTCGGGCAATTTGAATGTCTTGTTGTTGGACTTCACGTGACGTAGTACAACAGACCAAGCTAACGCAATAGGGTCATGGGCGCAACTAGGGTAAAATTTATGGGAGTGCTCAAATCTAAAGCACAACACGAGAACCCCCCCCCCCCTTGTTTTAGGCAAAATTATTGAATGTATACACAAATTTAATGTTTTAAAACAATCATTAAATAATCATAAACATAAAAAACCAATTCAGCATATCACAATATAAATAATTTATTAAATAACTAGCCGACCCGTCACGGCTTCACCCGTGATTGGTTGTTTAATTTGCCTTTGGATAATGATATATAGAACTTTTTAATCAAATTCTATCGTTTAATAATATCGGCAAATTAATATAAAAAAAAAAAAAAACGGTTAATGAAAACGTATTGAAATGTTTCAAGCGGGATTAATGACAAATATATTTTTACTAAAAATGAATGCAGATACAAAATAAATGCTGAGTAATTTACGGTTGATAAAAAATTGTATAAAACTTCTGAGTATATGGCGTTTTTTGTTTTATCTCCTGTTGAAATTAAAATCATAAGATGCTTCGGGTCCCCAGTTCGAGAAAATCCCACGTATAATTGTCCATGTGAAAAGCACTGTGTTCGAAGACCTACGCCAACGTACCTGTATGTTTGACCTTGAGCTTTGTTTATCGTTATTGCCAAAGAAACTTTAACAGAGAATTAAAGCCGTTTGAACGGAAACGGCGAGTCCGACGGAATCACGGGAATTCTTGGAATAAATGCAATTTCTCCTTTTGCCGGCCCCGTAAGAATGACGGCTCCTATAACACTATTCTGCAACGATTTTATTTGTCATCTTGTACCGTTACATAACTTCGGTGGTTGAAGATTACGTAATAATGTAATCGGAGTACCAATTTTTAATTTTAGCTTACGGAGAGGAAATCCCGAAGGAGAAAGAGAATTGAGAAATTATTGTAGATATAAATATATAAAGATATAGATAAAAATTAATACGAATATTCGGTATACGTGTTGTTTGGTGTGCGTGCGATAAACTTCTCGGAACAATTCGTACCTACACGCCGATGTCAAACACGATACAATTTGACGAACAAAAAGGTCAGGTCGCGGGTAGCTGTAAACCCGCGGGCCGCCGTGCCGCACAATACGTATATAATATGGGTAGACAATTTTTTAATTTTTCAAGAACTTTATACTTATTTTTTATTGACAAAAGTGGTACTAAAACCTTCAGCAGAGTGTCGGGTACAACGGTAAAAAATTTCAGCCAAATCGGTACGGTGGTTTTCTCGGTTAGCGCGGTCGTAGAAAACCCCTTACAATTTTATATAATAGTATAGATAATGCTCATATTATAATAAATTAATTTTTCTATTATTAGTTAATGCAAACTTATTTGAAGAATTTTTTCATTATTAATGTTATTTGTAATGTCTCTTTCAATACACATTGAAGCTAGACTTGTAAATCGATTTTGTCCCATGCTTGTTCGAAGCCAATTCTTCACTCTTCGCATGGCTGAAAAAGATCTTTCACACGTAACTGACGATACAGGTATTGTGATTGCAACTTGAATCAATTTATGAAAATTTGGATAAACATTCATTTGCTCCTTATCGCAATTTATTTTTGGCATAATTCGCCCGAACGCCGATGATATTCCCCCCCCCCCCGTACATCTTCCCTGGCCGTTAGATTATTATTGTAAATTATTTTTCGATATTAAAAGCCAGTGCACTCACTATTTATTGAGACGTGATATTAATTTACGTGTTTCCATATCACCTATACCCGCGGGCTATCTATAGTATATTTAATCTATGATACTGTTGCCGTTATAAAATTAACGGCGGTTGTTGAGCGTTGGTCGGGAATCTAGGAAAAAAAATAAATAAAACCTATTGGCTATTGATTCTACGTATTGTGTACACGGTACATTTCGATGGGTAATAAACCCGATTTAATAAACGCATTTGATGTTTCCGTTGACCATTATAGGTTAAAATATATTAGAAAAACGATATTATGATAGTTTACCAATTTTACCGGTCAATTAATTATTATTTATAAAATCAGAAGTGTTACAAATTATTTCAAATAATATAACCTACGATTTTGTATGCCCGGTGATTAATATTTTAAGTTTCAGTTCAAAATCTAAAATAATTTATACTACTTCGATGACAAAATAAAATACGATTTCCTTAACAATGAGAACCGAATAAAAATAAAATTGTAATTATATTTTAAGTACATTATTATTGTAATTTTTAACCCGACAACAACCCTCAGTCAACTGTGTGTAAAAACCACGTGTAAGAAAAAAAAGAACTAAAGTTAGATAAGTTGTGATATCCAAAAGGGCTAAGTAATTGCTTAAATTCATTAGTATAGAAAGTGTTCATAATTGTTCGTACTTGACGAAGTGCGATAATTTAATACAAATAATTTAACTTAGCTTGGCGGCTACTAATATTTACGACTACAAATTAAGATACAACGCCGACATGAATATTTACATCCCTATTTAATCAGCCAAGCTAAGTTAAATTATTTGTATTAAATTATCGCGCTTCATCGAACACAAACAATAATAAACTATTTCTATACAAATGAATTTAAGAAATTACTTAGCCCTTTTTTGATATCACAACTTATTTAACTTAATTGTTTTTTTCTTAGCGGTGTTTTTACACATAAGTGACGGACATTTTTTGTTGGGGTATCAATCATTTTTTTTTTATTAAAACTTTGGATATAGTTAACCTACGTTTTTCTTTTTATTGAGTAAATAAATAAAAATACACACCACAAATAGTACCTTAAAACTATTTAACATTTTCAGAAATTAAAATTTGCATAAACCCATAATATCATTCATCTGAATATGGGTAAACACTGACCTTCTTTGTTCATTGGATTCATGAAACATATTGAAACACATACACAAATTACATATAAAACATACTAACGTATTCATATGTATACAGTTTTATTTGTACCAATTGATAAATCATTTAAAAGAAATAATTGTTAAAATCAGTGGTCAATAAATATTATTTTAACTTCATGTACACTTCATAATAAATAAATAAAATAACACAAAATGATTATTATATTAAGTACACAGTTTTCAAAAAAACTATATTACATAAAATAATAACAAATAAAATAAATTATCATTAATGTCTATATAAAAATGTAATTGTCAAATAAATCAAAACCAAAATTACACAAAATGTAGTTTAAAATATAAAGAATTCATAAGAATACTATAAATATCATAGTTTATATTATAGGTAGTTAAGTATCTAAAATGTATTAGGTATTTTCTTAGCGGTACTTAAAATTGTACTTACAATATATGATTAACAATATTCTCAAGATATTGGAATAAACTTGGTGAAAAGTACAATCAAAAAAATTTTTTTTTTTTTAGTGTTCCAACAATTATATAATATTGAAACAGTGGAAGTTCATGAAACATTCGCTATTTCAACAGTCTAAGAAATGATTAATATTGTATGTATAATAATGACACACAAATTTACAAATGTGCGTGGCAAATAAAAACTTAAATGTAAAAGTTAAACATCACAAATACCAGTGATTTAATAAGGCAAGATCTGTTCTAATAGTAAAATAATTAATGTATAATATTATATTTAATAATAATAAAATGATTAAAATCCATACAAAAATATAATGTTAACACTTCTTTTCTTAACATTAGAAGTCCTACGAGGACACAAATAAATAAAACCTATAGAACTCAAAG